TTAGGTTGGATTACATTAAGGATCAGCCTTAAGACCGTATCTTTTTGATTTAGTCATGGATATTCTCACTAGACATTTATAAGATAATGTATCTTGGTGTATGTTTTTTGCTGATGATATTCTTCTTATTGCTAAGACTAGAGAGGGAGTTAAAGGTAAACTTAAATTATGGAAGTCAAACTTAGACTCTAAAGGATTTCTCCTGAGTAGTTATAAAAATTAATAAATGTAGTGTAATTTTTGTAGTAATAGACCTAGTGAGGGGATTGTGACTTTGGGCAAGCAAGTCATTAATAAGAATACACATTTTAGATATCTTGGATCTATTGTTCAAAGTGATGGTAAAATACATGGGGATATTATTAGCATAATTCAAGTTGGATGGTTGAAGTGGAGGAATTCACGGGCTTGTTGTGTGATAGAAAATTTCCCATCAAACTTAAGGGAAAATTATGTACAATTATGTTGAGACATACAATGCTTTATGGTGCTGAATATTAGCCATTAAAAGAGAAGCATAATAATAAGTTAAGTGTTGTAGTATGAGGATGCTCAGGTGGATGAGTTGCTTTACTTTTAAAGAGAGGATGTGAGTATATACGTGAAAAGGTTGGAGTAGCACTAGAAAAAGATAAGATTAGAGAGATTCACCTTAGATGGTTTGGTCAAATAAAATGGAGACTTCTGATGTCTATGTTATGAAAGTTGATGTATTAGATTTAACTTAGATTAAGAAAGGTAGAGGTAGACCTAAAAATGAATTGGTTAGAAAATATAAGAAATGACCTTTCTTTATTAGATTTAAATGAGAATTTGACTTTGAACATGACACAATGGAGAAAAAGGATTCATGTAGCTGACCCCATGCAGTGGGACAAAGGCTCGATGTTCTCATTATTGTTATTGATAGTTTTGACTACCTTCCTTCTATTGGTCACTCTACCTATTTCTTCATTGGGTGAGTGTGGCCAACATCAAAAAGACATATTAAAAGAGAGATGAGTGAGAAAACCTCTGTCAAAGTTAGGCTTTGATATTTTTGCCCCTAAGTCAATTAATGGAGTGAAAGAGTCAAACAAAACTTTTAGGATATTCCTATCAATTTAATGAACCTGCATATTTGAGTGAAACTCAATATGCGAGTTTCAAAATTTGAAGAAGATCCATTCGATTTCATCCTCAGGTTAAACTTCAATTTAAATTTCAAGTTCAATTTTAGGCTTTAATATTTCACCCCAAATTAATTGGTGGAAAGAAAGAGTCAGGCTAACTCTTAAGATTCTCCTTATCATATTTGTAAACCCTCATGTTGGGTCAAAACTCAATAGGATGAGTTTAAAATTTTAAGGAAAATTAATTTGATTCCAAATTCAAATTCTATTTCAAAATCAACTAATTCAAGTCAACTTCTATTAACTTTCAGAAAATTTAAGCATACTCAAATAGTTGGGAAACTTATATTCTCCTAAATAGAAACCTAACTACATAATAAATTTTCTATGGTAATTAAATTTAGTTTGGAGTGGAGGTTCCAAACTTCAAGCTTTTTGATAATGGGGAGGAAATCATTGATCTATATATTAGGATATAAAAGGATTTCTCCTTGGTGGAAATAACTTTAGGTTTGGATCTGACTCCCCCATCTCTATAATGGAAGCCAATGTCACCCCCTTGTCCACTGTACCCTCTACTCGAGAGGATAATCAAAAGTGAATGATAATGGACAAGAGACCATTTATATCTGAGATCGGGTCAATTTCTAGAACCCCTTTGCTAGCAAGAACTAGAAGAAAAACTAGCTTCAAAGAGTTAGAGAGAAGGTCGTTAATGCTAAAAAGATCACTGAGTTGGAAGCCTTAAAGCAAATCAAATCTAAGGATAATCAAGAATTCATTGCTCCTTACTCGGAATGTGAGTATTCTTAATACATTCTTTTTTTACTTCAAATTAATTAATTTTTTAATGTTTTGTGATTATCAAAATATATAGTATTAAACCTACATAATTTATTTACAAATTTCTATATGCGAAAATGCCTAATTATGACACTAACAATGTCCGGCCTATTAATAAAAATGTTATTTGCACTATATTCCTATCATTTAGATGATGATAATAATTTTTTTTATTAATCTAGGGTCCGCAGTACATCATCCAAATTTATTTTTACACAAAGATGTTTGGATTCTATATTAATATCATAAAAAAATATCTCATACTTAACTACTTCAATCTTTCTATTGAAATATCTATGCGTATCTATATAAAAAATTATTATATAATGATATATAATTAAATAAAAAGATTAAATATATTTTAATAATATAATAATATTAAAATTTACCAATCTAAATATAAATATTTTAACTTGCTTTGAATCGAAGATTATGATCCTCCTCTCTGCAATGTGTACAAGTGAAATTTATTGAATTCTCTTCTTTAAAATTCTTGTAAAAAAGGACTTAAGATTAAAAAAAAAACACGAATTATATAAAGAAAAGCATCTCATTGGCTACAAAGCTTATATCACCAAAGATGCAATTTATTATCTTTATAGTCCTTAAATAAAAGAATAAGTGGGGATAATTTTGACACAAAAGGATTTCAAATTTGGAAGAAAGACGAATATATTTCATGTTCATATTGGATAAGTTAATAGTGCTCATAATATTGTGAGGAGAAAATGTAAAGATTTTTCAAATCAACAATAAGACTTTAGATTCCTTGTATCTAAACATAGAAAAATGTATTGCTCCATTCATTCAAAAGGAAAATACACATGATGCAGCCATCAAAACTTTGAATTTTATCATGAATAAATAGGTAATGATTTGTTTAGAAGCTTTTTGAACGAGTCTCGTGATATTTCGGTAAAAGAGCAAGTAGCACAATTATTAAGTTATTTTGATGAATCAAGCATTTTAATTGGACTCATATATGTAGAAGAAACCTCTACTTTGACACTATAAAAAGGCTATCAAAGTTTTTCTTGCAAAATATGGCTCGAGTAAATCACGGATAACTCACGGATAATTAGTCAATGTTATGACTTTGCTAGCAATATGTTTGGTAAGTTCAATAGATAGAATACTTTGATTACGAAATGAAATAATTTAACTAATTATGTGTATTATTTTAGTCATCAACTCTAATTAACATTAATCATTATGGTTAAAAATCATATTCAAGTTACTTGGCTTTTTAATACAATTTTTAATTTAAAAAAAATTGTTAGGAGTTCATTTAAAAAGAAAATATCAACTACTTGAGAAATAATATAATAAAATTGTAAAACAACAACAAAATGATTAATTTTTTTAGTGGTAAAGATTTAAATCGAGAAATAAATCTTAAAGAAGCTAGAGATACATGTTGGGACACACATTATGGTTCTTTTATCAATTCAATTCTTTTGTATAGATCTGTTACTAAGGTTATTGATATAAATACCATAAGATGGATCAAGTAGTGAGCAAAAGGGTGAAGCTTATACCTTACTTGGTGTTGTATGATATTATGATTTTTTTATGTTTTTATTTTTGAATATAATAAAGGATGTATTAGAGGTAAAAAATGAGCGATCTTAAATATTGTAAAAAAATAATCAAGACATCATTGATGTATGATTATGATAAAATATCAAAATAAAGACTATAAAATATGAGAGATGATGGATGTACGATTTTATTAACAGAAGCCGGTGTATTTTACGAGAAGAATAGTTTAAATGTTTTAATTATGGTTGATAATTTTCTGATATAAGAGAGATCGAAGCGGCATTTTCAAACAATTCACAAATGAACATTTTTATTAAATTAAATTATTTTATCCAAAGATAGATATACATTTTCAAGAGCTCAATAATAAATTTGATGAGATAAACATTAAGTCATTTATGTGTGTGACAATCTTGAATACATATAACTCATATTCAGTGCTTAAAAAATAAAGATTGACATGTCTAGCTAGATTTTATCCATCAAAATTTTTAGATATAAATTTAGCAAATTTGATATTTTTATCGTTGATATGAAATTCAGTGATATATTTATAAATTTAAAAGGAATAAAAGAGTTTGCATAAAAATTGGTGGAGATTACAAAAAATGATAATTTTCTTTTAGTGTTCTTACTTATAAAACTTACTATCGTATTACCAATTGCTATAACAATGATCAAACAAGCATTTTCCACTATGAAGATTGTAAAAAATCAGTTGTGAAATTATATAATAGACTCTTAGATAAATGATTGATTGACTACTTATGTTATAGTTATATATATATATATATAATATTGATAAAGAAATAATTGTACAACTATTTCAAAATATGAAGCTTTGAAGGAAAAAATTGTATGTGACGAGAGATTATTAGGTGCGGAGTGTAGACGGGGAGAACCGTCTGCATACTAGTATAAAATCCAGCTAGGTACCGTTCGGTACCGCTGGGTACCATTATGTACCGCTTGGTACCCTGTGTCTGTGCAGACGGTGCTCCCCCCGTCTGCACTCCGCACCTAATAATTATTCGTATGTGACATGCAAGAAGAATATGAACAACATTCCTCTCAATTATAAGTGATTTATTAGATTTATCTTTTTTGGTAACAAGTCTAACTAAAATATTTTTAAAAATGATGATGTTGGTCTCAAGTCAAGATGAAAATTATTTATTTCTTAAGTTTCATAATTTGTGTACCTTAAAAAAAAAATCCCAGCTCCATCATATCTATTTCGAGATAGAGGATGGATAAACCAATACAATTTCATCTTCTTCTCTACTCTCCTATCTATCTTTCAAATTAAATTGTGGATAAGTCTTAACAAAATATTATAATTAAATGTATGAGACAATGAGACAGTAAAGGTAGGGTCCATTTCTATTTTATGAAAATATTGAACCTCACAAAAGAGATTTTGAGTTACAAGTGCCCTCAATATGGTAGCCGTTAATTACAAATTTAAACGGCGGTAGCCTTCTGTAACGGTGTCCCTATTCGCGCCAGGAGTTCCTTTCCCTCTCTCCATCTTGCCATTATTTCCCTCCACTTTTGCTCTCTCTCACTCTTCTTTTTCATGTATGATAGAAGACCAACGCCACAAAATCATAAAACAGCCACGTTTCCTTCCTCTCCACCATTCACCTCCCCCCTCCACTGCTAGGATATCTCCTTCTCCCTTCCTCTACGACAGAGCCAATAGCCATGTCTTCACTTCCGGCCACACTCCGCTCTCCGCCACCGCCGGAGCCAAAACCAGGCATGCCTCTCCATCTATTTACTCTTTCTTTCTCCCTACAGACTTTAGACATTTTTGTTTGGTTCTAAGTACAGAGGATAGCGATGAGGATCTGTTCACCGTTCCCGACGTTGAGTCAGCTCCAGGAAACAGCTCTCCGGCGGCGATCGAGGCAGCGAAAGTTTCCGGCGAAGGGCCTTCGAAGTGCAGGAAGGGCCGAAACCCGGCAGAAAGGGAGTACAGAAGGCTCAAAAGGTTCGCCTCTGCTTTCCATACTTCTTTGACTGTGGTATTCATAGGATTTAAGTTTCTCATAAGCACGGTCAAACAAATTTCTTTTAATGAATTTAAACGTTACTGTTTGGATAAAATTTATTTTATTCAAAACATTAATTAAATTTAGGATTTGTAAAATTCATTATTCACAATATTTAATGAATTTAAGAATTTTCATATATTACAAATTTTAAATTCTAAAATAAACAGTAAAAGGTTTAACAGTTATTATGTTAAATATTTTTAAATTTAAATCCCTCAAGATTTAATAAATTATGCAGATCATCTTAGTCTGTTTGTTATCAGTTTTGACTATCAATTAAGAGATTTTAGCTTCAAGACTAACAAAGACTCAGTTCATTTTTTGTGAGAAACACGATGACAAAGCAGCTCTTCTTGATCTATTGATTGGCTGAGAGTTTTGGCTATTGGGAGCTTTAGGTGCCAACCAAAAGGGTCGGATTGGAAACTTGCATATTTGAGTTTGTCTTAATTGACTTAAATGTTTCAAAAAAAAGTACAATGGCTCGAAAACATATGTAGAATTTTTATTAAAATTGGAAAAAATATTTGAATCTTCGTTTTTAATTACATCGAAGCTATAAAATGACCAGAAATAATATATAAACGAAACAGGCTGCTTAGGAACAGAGTATCCGCTCAACAAGCCAGAGAAAGAAAGAAAGTTTACGTGAATGATCTTGAATCCACAGCCACACACTTGCAGGAGCAAAATATGAAACTGGAAGAAAAGATTTCCACATTGGTTAATGAGAACACAATGCTTCGAAAGGTATAAATTATTGCAGAACAAAGATATGTACCGTTTCGCTGTTCCGTAACAGTGTTTTTTTTTCGTTTATTTATTGACAGGTTCTCATGAACGCCAGGCCAAAGAGTGATGACAGTGGAGAACATAATGAAAAGACCGCAAATTTTTAATATTTAGTGTTATATATTAACATTCATGAGCTAGCTAACTCTTTGAAGGAAAAAATTTGGAAGTAATTATTATATTTCCTGTTTTCCCCAAATTTTTTTTTTTTAGATTTCCCCAAAAAATATATATATATTTCCTGCTGGCACTGTACTTTTTCTATTTCCCATATCCTTACGTGCGATTGAATGATTGAAATATATATACCTGATATATCATCAAAAAAATTATCTTGACCAGGCATGAATCTCAAGATAAAATTAAGTTGGAAATTTTAAAACTTAAATTTGGGACCAATTGAACTTTGATTTCAACAAATTTATAGTCAATTTGAATGTTTCTAAAAGACAAACCTAACGACACCAAATTCGACTCAATTCGAGCCCAAATGAGTGCAAGTCGAAGACCTCAAGTACATTTGGAAAGTTCAAGCTATAAATTGGATGACAAAACGGTTTTCAAACGTGACATGCTTATAATTGAATCGAACGACTTGACGGATCGAATCCAAAAATCCCGAGATCGTTGAATTTTGATATCATTAAGGAACTCAAATCCTTGATAAATAGTCCATGATCAAATGAATATTAATATCAGTCGTTCATCTGAAACCCTTCTAACATACCCTTGATCTTCTCATTATTTACTAGATATGTCACTCCCTAAAAATTATAAATAGAACCCTCAATTCTCATGGAAGGGGACCTCGAAGGAAGAAAGCAAGGAAGAGATATCTGATGTCTCTCTTGGCACTAAACTCTCCTTGATCATCGCTCGAACTTCTGTCGAACCACCGACTGACGCGAACTTCCGCTGGACCACCATCTGGCGCTTAAACTTCTATCGGATCACCGAATGACACCAAACTTCCGTCCGACCACCAACTGATGTCCGGACTTCCACCGGACCACCAACTGACACCCGAACTTCCACCAGACCATCGACTGACGCTCGGACTTCCTTCGGACCACTGACTGATGCCCAGACTTCCACTAGAACACCGACTGATGTCAGACTTCCTTCAGACACTGACTAACACCCAGGCTTCCAATCGGACCACCGACTGACCTCGAACTTTCGACTGATGCCCGGACTTCCGCCTGACCGAACATCGCCGAACTTTTACTTGACTCTCATTTTTCACTATATTTAAACCAGACAATTGATTGTGATAATCTGATCGTCCTCAAGGATGATTCAGTTCACTATAAGATACTCAAACACTATGAGAATCATTTTAAATAGGCATGGTCCCGTGGGTTTCCCCTTTTTTAGGGTTTTCCACGTAAAAAATCTTGTGTTCTCTATTTGTGTGATGGATATCCATACAACGCTAAGACATAAGATTCTAACTCTATCGCCACGTATATTCTAGCTCGCAATAATAAAAAAGATTAAATTGAGATCAAGTGGTGTAGCTTATTGGTTGACGGATGACAAGGCATCATCGTTACTCGCACTCAAATCTCATAACCTGCCAAAAAACGAGAAGGGCTAAATAGATTATTCCACTGTCCATGTCAATGACACAATTATGCAGTACATTTTTGTCTCCTGTTTCTAGCTGCACAAAACCAAATCTTTGTTTTACTCAAGTATTCATGCATATCAGTAGAATAACTTGTTAAAACCAGCAGGAGGCTATTGCAAGAAGCTTAATGGTCTAATGGGAGATTGATCCATAAAATTGAGGAGCATGCCCTATGGCTCTAATATTAGAGGTGCCAGTATATTGGAAACTTATAATCCTAAGTATAAAGGAAATTGGACATGTGGATCTTTATACTTCGATGTTAAGCAAGGTAAGAATTATAATTTCTCAATTACGAGTGATGAGTCACATATACAAACTCACATTGTAAGCAAGGAAGTTCAAAATGGTAGGTCCTCAGCAAGTAGATATGCATAGCTCAATTACTGGCCCTATTAGAAAATTTGGGGTTTATAGTCCAAGAAATGAGGCATGCTGAGCTCAAGTAGTGGATCTCATGATTATGATCTTAAGATAGGCATAACATTGATGCTCAAGACTTTACAATTAGCATAGCTCAATTAAGGTATCATGTCTCATTGTTTTGCCATTAGAGATGCCCATAAGGGATTGGTTATATGTCTTAGCAAAGGGCCTATAGGAATGTTGCATGGCTATGTGATGACCAGGAGACTTGTAACTCGTATGGAGCAGTCTTTATGTAGGACTCTAACCTCTAAATTAAATGGAGGCCCAATGATTAGTCTTATACTCTCTCCTTACAAATAAGCTTGCTTGAGCCTAGGGGTCTAAGTGAATCAAGCTGACTCAAGAGCGAGCTCGAGCTTGGCTTGATAAACAACTCATTAGCTGATCTGATTAATTTATTTGGCATGTTTAAAAAATACTAAGAAAAAATATACTTGAAATAGATTCTAATTCAATAGCTTTAGTAAAAAATATTTAAAATATTTAATAATTATATCTCAGTACTTCTTTATTTTAATTGAATATTTCTCTAATTTCTCATTATTTTTATTTTTCATTATAATAATTACTACAGTTATAATAATTTTCTCTCTTTCATAACAAATAACTTGGATGTAAACAACTTGATAGAATTAAGCTCATGTTTTTTTTTTAAATGAACAAAATTAAACTTAAACAAGCAGTCTTCGTAGTAGCATTTAGTCAAACGACACAGCAGCATTTCCACTAGACAAACATAGAAACATAACAATAAAATTAACACAAGCCACACACACACAAACAGAGCTCTCACAACCGCACTGTGCATAGTTAAAAATAATTAAAAAAAACTTTTAATCAGTAATCATCACCCTCTTCAGGTTCATCACCCTCCCCGGATTCAACGCCAACCTCTTCATAATCCTTCTCAAGAGCAGCCAAATCCTCCCTAGCCTATGAAAACTCACCCTCCTCCATTCCCTCGCCCACGTACCAATGCACGAATGCCCTCTTCGAATACATCAGATCAATATTAACACATCTCTCCACTATCACACCTACAATCTCTGACAACAACAAATACCTCACCTAATCACCATTCATTTATAACAAACCACACAACATATCAGCCCTACACGTCTATACACATAGTATATGAGCACTATAGTAAATAATGGAATAGGTGATTAATGAAGAAGAGGTTACCTGAAATTGTCTTTGTTGTTATTCCTCTGCTCTAACATGTATTGCAGGTCTGTAGGAGATTTACTTCAGCATTTCTTCATGGTATCAGAGCAAGGCTGAGAGAACTTTTATCCCAGCTACAGTGATATTAGCATAGTCATCTTCTTTGCAAACAACTGATTAGCTAGCTGCTACGTCTACATATCCACCACCCATTACCTCCTCCCTCAAACTTGTTCTCTTTAATATCAAAACCATAGTACCCGCCTCCCTCTCTAATGATAATTTTCCAGTGTGGAGGTTGCAAATACTCAAACTACTGAGAGCAAACAGATTAACCAGTCATCTCGATAGCTATAAGTCTCATCCTCACTAGCTTCTTCAACAATCTGATGGTAGCACAATGCTAACCCCAACATACACTCAATGGCTACTCATAGATCAGAATCTCACAGCTGTTCTATGCTCAACCATATCACCTTCAATCTTATTGTATGTTCTTCATCTAGGCTGCTACTCCGACATATGGCATACCCTCGAATAATGACTCTAGGCATCCAACTAGGGGTGTAAGTGAGCCGAGCCGGCTCGTGAGCCGGCTCGAGCTCGACTCGTTTATGGGCTCGCAAGCCGAATTCCCGCCCATGGCTGGCGAGCCGGCTCGAGCTCGTTAACAGTGACACGAGCTCGAGTTCGAGCTCGCTTTCTATCTAACAAGCCGAGCTCAATAAGGGCCAAAACTCGACTCGTTTATACCCCTACATCCAACCGATCCAGAGTTATACATCGAAAAAGTGAATTGCACAATAGCTTTATGTGAAATCTCTCAATGACACAGTATCTCACGGCAATCAAGACCTTAGTAGACAACATTATCGCCACTGGTTCGAATGTCGACTCAGAAAATATTATTCTCTATATACTTAATGGACTTCCACTACATACCAGACATTCAAGACCTTAATTCAAACCAAACAAAGTCCACTTACACTTGATGAGCTTTATTCTTATCTTCTCATTGAGGAGATCAACTTTACTGTTGAATCAAATAGAGATCCTCATTCAACTGATCCCAATATGGCAATATACACTTTTCACGATCATGGGCGTCGTGGCAGAGGTAGATTTACCAACATTAATAACACAGCTGGTCGTTCCAAGTCATCCTCCATGATCATTTGTCAAATCTACACGAGGTCAAGCCACACCACAATGCTTGCATTGCTTAAATGTGAACTACACTCAAATTGTACTGCAAACTCCCTCCAAATCTTTAGTAGTAGACTCGACACTGTCCTCTCATGACTGGTATATCAATTCCAGAGCAATTTTGCATCTCACGAAGTCCTTGGACAACATTGCGTAGCCAAACTCATATCAGGGAGTGGACAACATCACTATTGGCAATGGATAAAACCTTCCCATCGGACACTCCAGCCCACATCTTCTTCCAACTCCAACATGTAAGATATGCCTTCCTCAAATCTACCACGTTCCCACTCTATCTCACAACTTGTTATACATTTCTAACCTCACTCATAAAAACAATGTCTCTATTGTCTTTTCTCCATCTGGCTTCTCCAGTAAGGATCTGAAGACTCAGACAATCATCTTACAAAGACCATGTCACAATGGTTTGTACATAATTAAACTTTCTCCTGTTGGCTAGCCTCCATGAGCACTCTCGGCCACTTCTTGCTCATCAATCTGGTGGCACAACCATCTTGGTCATCAATATAGCCAAACGTTAGCAATCATCTCTAATGAAAACAAAGAACTAGCTATTCCTTCTTCTATTAATTTATGTTCTGTTTGTAAGGCTTCTAAAAGTCATAAGTTAGCTTTTTCCATTTCTACAATGTCTGCATCTTTTACTTTAGGTCTATTTCATTTAGATTTATGGGGTCTGTCCCCAACTCTTTCTTCTCAAGGTTGTAAATATTATCTTATTATCATTGATGACTTCTCTCGCTTTACCTGGATTTTTATGATGCTTGCTAAATCTGAAGTCACTCAAATAATAATTCATTTCAAGATG